GATGTTCATGTATAACATTTGAAATCCAAGAAAAACTTAAACTTAGCGGCGCCGGTGCACAGTGGTCTAAAAGTGCCAAAACGTGCGTTTTTTAGTTTATGCAAAAACGGTCCATTTAAGCCATATATTCAAATGTAATCAACCTGGTTTGCCCAATTTTGCCCAACTTCGAACTATTGACCTTGGAAATAGTGCTAATTTTGGATCAAAACCTTGAATATCACAAGAAATATTGAAGATAGGGACTTGCTTCTTCAGACAAAATGGCGTATTAAAAAAAAAAAAAAATAAACATTTGTGTAGAACATACTAATGTCAAAAAATTACTTCCTGAACAGTTATTTTCAAAAATTGATTTTCTGAAGGCTCTTACCAAAAAAATGACATATCTCTGTAAACGTAACGTTGACGTCTTCAGCAAAAAATATTTGTTTTAATATTGTTTAAAACTTTGCTCAAGACACCATTTTGCTATCCCGCAAATCAAAAAAAGTAAATTTTTCATTGCCCTGCTAGGTGGATTAATCATGAAATGGCTAAGCTCAAAAGAAGGGACTTTTTAGGTGGACAAACTTCTCCCAAGACACTATATGGCTTAAATGGACCGTTTTTGCATAAACTAAAAAACGCACTGGGTTCAATCCCAGTCGGCACCAACGGGATGTTCTGAGCAGTGATGCAAAATATCATGACACTCACCAGACACTCGTCTTCGCATCAACCGACTATCGCTGACAGAACATTTTGTCACGCAGTGAGAGGTAGAGCCATGGCAAACAACAATAACCAGTAATGGTCGCTGCTCACAAGCAAAACGTTACACTCGCTGCTGATGGTGAAAAGCTAAGAGAAGAGGTGACAATACATGGGCGAAAATGAACCACTTTTCTGTCAAACGTGAACCAGCTCCTGATTGGCTGATTTCATGCGAGTAGGATAGAGATAGAGATAGAAATAAAAGAGGAAGAAGCCAATTGTCACCTCTTCCTCTTAGGTGAAAAGCACAACGAAAACAGTGAAGTCTTCTGCAGTACAATCATGAGAAAAGGCGAAACGACAGAACAAAATAAAAACAATGTCTACGCATTCCAAGTTCGTCTCGGTAGGCGCGACTGTGTGAGCTACAAACAAAGCAGGCAACATTAAACGGAAGCTGTTGGGCTCACTCACCAACACACTCACATAAGCAAGCAAAGCAGCACCTGCTTCAAAACGAGCACAGATGAGTGTCGTGATTGTCGGGAATGACCAGATCGGTTATGGATCACAACCGAAGACGACATTCACCAGTTGCTTTTTACTTCTTTCGTCAACTTGATGGATGGTCATGGAGAGAGCTACCGAGAGAGCTACAACGAGCACATTGATATGAATGTGCAAAGCGTTACTACCATCAGCTGTTTGGCGATCGTGATTGTGATAGGTTGCAACTCTGGTTCTGAGGCATAACATCTCTGATCACGCCTTCCTTCGGAAGGTAAGTAAAGCCATTGGTCCCCGGTTCATGAGTTGATGGGTCGATAGGTAGGCTGCAGGTGTGGGAGCTGCCTCCCTGGCGTCGGGAGCATTGGTGCTCAGCACGGAAAACAAGATCAACGGAAAACAAATCAAGAAAAAAAAACTTGTGATACCCGGCCACTAAGGCTGTGAACCATTTGCCGAGTTAAATTTAACTCGTGGTTAAAAGTGACATTTCGAAAGTTATTCTCTATGTTCGAAAATCCTTGTGCTGTCAATCGACCGGTTTTCGAGAAGAACTCAACCACGATTGTCAAAATTTAACTTCTTGTCTGTCAGAAATAACCACGGATAGCAGGGTTTAACAGGGTTTAACGATAACTTTCCATCTGTCAAATTTTAACCAAAAGTAAAAAAAAAAATCACCAAATGGTTCAGAGCCTAAGAATAACTCAGAGAGCGAGTCAATTTCTTATACAACTAACGCACATATACAATTGAATACGCACGTATATCTGAGACTGTAAGTAATCAGTCTTCGGAGAGAGAACTGTTCGCAGCTTATGGGGGAGAGTGTGAATCAGAATTTCCGAACGACCATACAACCTCCTTAATATATCAATTACTGTGGCAGCAGCAATCGGCTTCTAACGCATTCCCCTTCAAACAACGCTGCAATCTTGCCAAGTTTCCCGAGTATCCACATGTTTCTGTAGAGTTGCAGAACGAGCTGTAGAATAATGAACAATCACGCAGATCACCTGAAAAGTTTGGTAAGTCCCGTGGCATCACTTAATGAAGCACCACCATTGTTGACAAACGTACCTTTCCCCTGTGATGAAACTGGGATGTGGCTTACGATTGTATCTCACCGACGCACAGTGGCACGAATATGAATAAAGACGGTCAAAAATATTTTCTACCCTTTTTCGACGTTTTAGAGACTGGCTGTCTTGGGAGAAGTTGCTCAAAATTATATCTCGCATCTTTTGAAATACACACCTGAATAATCTTTAAGCTAGTATTACACATCCAAATTCTAACTTTTTCCAGTTACGAGATAATGGTTTCATGTCTTCCACAAAGTTGCAGAGCAGTTGATTTTATGAACATTTGCTAAAGACACCAAATTTCTACATCATAACTCTGTAGAGCTATAATAGATTTTCTTTTAAGACTACCTTAATATTGGTTTTTTGAGTTAATTAGTGCTTTTTTCAAATTTGATCAATTTATCATGTTCTAAAAAATTGTTGGCATCATTAAAATATACAACTTTGCTGAATACACCAATGCTTTTCATTGACATCTATGTGATATACAGCCCATCAAGCGTTTTTGTGACGTCATATTCAATGGCTCGAAAAGAGGGTGGGCGGGCCCTGGCGGGGTCTAAAACTGGTTGTATTTTGAAGATTACCTTATAAAATAGTACTTCTGAAAATTTCAGCGTTGGGTACTGAGGGGTACCTAGTCAAATCTCGATTCGAAAATGTCAATATTATATACAGCTCATCGGACGGTTTTGTGACGCCATATTGAACGGCCCGAAAAGATGGGAGGCGGCCCCTGGCAGGGATTAAAACCGATTGAATATCGAAGATTACATTATAAAATAGTGCTCCTGAAAAGTTCAGCGTTGGGTATTGAGTTATGCATCAATGATTTTAACCTACACGTGTTTGAACTTGCAAATTATTTAAATTATTAAGCTTAATCTGGAGATGTATTTAATGGGTTTGTTCTTAATTTGTTTGTTATTCAGTGTACCTACATTGATATGTACATTCATTGCAATATTGATACTCATATGTTGATAGTTGCAAATATTATAATGCAAGCTAATAATATTGGTATATTCCTTGCCCTTTATTATATACAATATGGACTAAAATATTCGCAATACCTATCGGTATAACTTTCAATAAAACTAGATTAAATGATAAAATTCTGACTACGGTTCCAACTTTGTACCTACCCACCCCACCCTCTTTTCAGAACATAGAACGTGACTTCACAACAGATGTTTGAAATTCCCGCGTGCACATCGCTGAACGCTGCTGCAGATGACTATTTTGTGCTTGACGTTTTGGCGATAGCAAAGAGCGATAGGGTTTATTTAATTATCTAGGTGTGATTTTTTTCACGAACAACTTGTATTGAAGTTGTGGTTCAAAATGAATTCATTCAATCTTTGTCGGATGGAATTGTTCAAAGTGTGGGCGGAGAAGATTCACGGAAATATTATCGAAGATAGTCAGGTAAGGAGTAATTAAAACATATTTTTTTCAATATTGGCATACTCAAAATATCAAAGTTCAGAATATACAGTTGATGAACAAACCCATTGATTATATTTCAAGATAATGCATTTTTTATATAGTTGTAAATTTTATCATGAGTAAGTAGCACACTCGTAGCACACATTGGTTTATAACTTGTACTAAATATATATAAACGAGATTTGACTAGGTACCCCTCGGTACCCAACGCTCAAACTTTCAGGAGTACTATTTTATAAGGTGATCTTCCAAATAAAATCAGTTTTCGACTACATCAGGGCCCGCCAACCCTATTTTCGAGCCATTGAATATGACGTCACAAAAACGCATGATGGGGTACATATAACATTGACTATTTCGACTCGAGATTTGACTAGATGACCCTGGAAACCCAGCACTGAACTTTTCAGGAGCACTATTTTATAATGTAATCTTCGAAATTCAATCGGTTTTAATCCCTGCCAGGGGCCGCCTCCCATCTTTTCGGGCCGTTCAATATGGCGTCACAAAACCGTCCGATGGGCTGTATATAATATTGACATTTTCGAATCGAGATTTGACTAGGTACCCCTCAGTACCCAACGCTGAAATTTTCAGAAGTACTATTTTATAAGGTAATCTTCAAAATACAACCAGTTTTAGACCCCGCCAGGGCCCGCCCACCCTCTTTTTGAGCCGTTGAATATGACGTCACAAAAACGCTTGATGGGCTGTATATCACATAGATGTCAATGAAAAGCATTGGTGTATTCAGCAAAGTTGTATGTTTTAATGATGCCAACAATTTTTTAGAACATGATAAATTGATCAAATTTAAAAAAAAAGCACTAATTAACTCAAAAAACCAATATTAAGGTAGTCTTAAGAGAAAATCTATTATAGCTCTACAGAGTTATGATGTAGAAATTTGGTGTCTTTAGCAAATGTTCATAAAATCAACTGTTCTGCAACTTTGTGGAAGACATGGAACCATTATCTCGTAACTGGGAAAAGTTAGAATTTGGATGTGTAATACTAGCTTAAATATTATTCAGGTGTGTATTTCAAAAGATGCGAGATATAATTTTGAGCAACTTCTCCCAAGACAGCCAGTCTCTAAAACGTCGAAAAAGGGTAGAAAATATTTTTGACCGTCTTTATTCATATTCGTGCCACTGTGCGACGGCCGTACTGGTGAGGTTGACAACCGGACCTTAACATTGGTCGGGAGTGTGCCAATGGATTCTGGGAAGTCACTGTATACCCTCCAACAGAGCAGCCCTAAGCTTCGGTTAGTAACGACATTGTTGGGTTAGTAGCAAAGTACTGAGAGGCGACGATGCTGTTGTAGTTTTGCGTCGGAATGTTTGTAGTGCTGATGCTGTTGTTGGGAATGTGGAATTGTAGCTAGACATATGCGTGCATCCATATTTTATGGAAACGACTTCTGGAACACTTTTAACTACTAAGCTATCATGAAATGGCTTACTACTAGAGGAACATGCGACCGCATTATCGTCACATACCGAGTATTGGAATATTAGTGACCATTGTCTCTGGTAAGTGATTGCGACTGGGTATGAGAGAAAAGTCGGCAATCGAAGGCGGAGCACTACGGTTTGCATCCATCGTGACGAAAGAGTTGATACCGGCATTGAATCTAGTCAGCAACGTAGAACTTACAAGAGCTTTCTTTTGGAACGCAAAATCTCGATTACTTTTTCGAAGGGACATATCAGCTTTTGTAAACAATGCATTTGATCGTTGGATTGGCGTAACTTCCGATTTGAGATGAAGTGTCAAATAGCCTACAAATACCACATCTATGACACAAACGTCATTCCCATATACTTTGCGTGAAGCCGAAAAAACCTGGTTCTCTGGTTCGATCGAACCAGAGAACCAGGATTTTTCGGCTTCACGCAAAGTATATGGGAATGACGTTTGTGTCATAGATGTGACAAATACCCAGATCTTAGGGTATTTGACACTTTTTGTGAAACCCGATGGCCGCCATATTGGATTCCAAAATGGCATCGTATATCAATTTTCGGCATTCACACGTTATCTCCTTTCCGAAAATACCCATATTGTAGGGTATTTGACACTTTCTGAACCCTGATGGCGGATATCGATTTGGCATCTACGCGTTGGTCCCGTTCCGAAAATAACCATATCTAGGGTATTTGACACTTCATAAAACCAATAGTCACTATCTTGAATTCCAAAATGGCGTCGGATATCATTTTTCATCTTCCGAAAAACACGCGCACATTCGCACCCGATGTAAAAACATAATGTTTTTGTTGAACTCGTACATGCTCTTGCTTGTGTTGTTATGTTCATTTCAAACATGCTGTTCAATACACACACATGAACGTTTTGTTGAAGCCACGTGTTCTTTTTCATATGTGCAAACACGGTGTTTGAACACGATGTTTGTTTTCTTCGGATTGCTTTTGTTGGACGGATTACCGTGCCGGACCATTTTCCGCGTTGTTCATAATGATTGTGAACTCAAGTGTTTAAAAAGCATCAACATATTATGAGATATTTTCAAAATGATCCGTGTACTTACAGCTCTAATGCACGGGAAGTAATATTTAAAGTGGTAACAATTCAAAAATATTGTTGAAACATAAACAAAAATAATTTGATGCGCAGAAGTAGAAACAGTGTGGAATTTGGTGCTTACATGGTAATCTTTCCTCCTCTTGTGTCGTGTTCGAGATAGGCGTATATATCAATGTTTTCATCTGGAAATCTTCTTCCATGGACCTCTTCGACGTTTATAACACGCACACTTGCGTAGTCCCATGTTCAAGTGCAAAGTTTGTTATCCTCACTTTCGCTACAGCCAAAAATGATGGTTTGTTATTGTTATCCTCACTTTCGGACTATCAATTCTCGTGCGCGTAGAATGGACTATGGTAGAATACTTTCCTGATTAAAACATATCAAGACCAACAATTGAAATGGCCTTAACTCCATCTTGTAAACAAACCATGTAAGGCCATTTTCTCGCGAACCGAAACCTTCATTCGCAAACCTAAACCACAATCGGGTAGAGGAGAATTTCCCCTAACTGTTCATTATGTTGGTTTACCTTTGCGGACTTCGGTTCGCGAGAAAATCAGGCATAACATTTGATAACGGCACAAAAGCATTTGTAAACAAACTTTCTAAGGCCCTTTTACACGCGAACCAAGGTACGCCCATGCAAACCAATACCACTTTCGGAAAGGTGATAGTTGCCCCTATCCGATGATGTTGTTGGTTTGCGTGGGCGTACTTTGGTTCACGTGTAAAGGGCCTTAGAAAGTTTGTTTACAAATGCTTTTGTGTCGTTATCAAATCTCGATGAACATTTCAAATGGTCCTATCTGCTTTGATCGATTCTCTTCATCGACTTTCTCTTTTCATAACCGCTGCTATGCAAACAGATTTCGCGCAAATTCTACCACATAGTTTGATAAAAAAGGTTCTTATCTAGCGTCCAAAATGTCAAATACAACAGGGAAAGGTTTTGCAGCTGAGTTATTGTCGAAAGAGAAAGTCGATGAAGAGAATCGATCAATGCAGATAGGACCCTTTGAAATGTTTATCTAGAAATGTTATGCCTGAAATGGCCTTACAAGGTTTGTTTACAAAATGGAGTTAAGGCCATTTCAATTGTTGATCTTGATATGACTGACGCAATCGCACTAATGGCGGTAAGCTCCAACTCGGATTAACTTTTAATACCGTCCCTGTTTGTATGATCTGAAAAATGTTTGCTCAGAGTTATGTTGATTAACTCTGATGTCAACATCAAACCAGCCGGACATTCTTGATCGGGATTTAATCCTAGGATAATACCGGTTGGAGCTTACCACCATAAGTCTTTAACTTTATCTATTATTTTCGCGTAACATTTGAAAAGGGCCTATCCGCGTTGATCGATTCTCTTCATCGATCTTTTTGGTTTACTACGGCAACATAAACGAATTTCTCGCTAAGCTCGCAGCATAGTTCGACAGATGATAATGTTAGCTTGCGCGTGAAACATTACACTCAATTGGAAATTCATTTGCAGTCGGGTTATTCGCGAAAGAGAAAATCGATGAAGAGAATCGATCAACAATGATGGGCCCTTTTCTCGTGTTGCGCGAGATTTGTTATTTACAGGCACTGGGAGTATGATGAAAAATACTGTAAATTGGAAAGTAGGAAAAGATCGCTCATTCGCCTTGACATTGCACTTGATCATCGTTTAATTCACTACTTTTTCTTTAGTGAATGTTGGTAAAAAAATCCACATGTTCTCTATATATTTTGTACCAACGTAATAAATGTATTCAGCCAAACACATATTTGTGAACTCAAAAGCGCAAGGCATGCTTGTTCACCAAGAAATCAAAATTAAGGCTTGGAAATCAATCATAATTTTGTCAAAAAAAAACCCTTTGCAACACGCTGCACTTTTGTTGTTTGAGACGTTGAAAACACAATGTTCAAACGTCATGTACAAACATTGGACGCGCCCATGTGTGATACATGTTCGAACACAAGGTTCAAAAGATTCTGTGTGAGTGCAAACATGAAAAGCAGCAACACAGCGAAAACACGTTCATCTCGAACACTACGTTGTATGTTCAATACCGAAGACTGTTTTTCAGCATCTACGCGGCATCACCCGATGGCTGCCATTTTGGATTAAAAAATGACGTCGAATATCGATTTTCGGCACCTTCGCGTCGTCGTCGTTCCGAAAATACCCGTAGTGTAGGGTATTTGAGACTTTCCCTGACCCCGATGGCTGCCATCTTGAACTCCAGAATGGTCTCGGTAATTTAATTTTCGTTTAATATAAAATAATATATTGTTACTACATATAATCCGGATGCTATCCGTATCGTCAACCGATATTGTGCGGATACTATCCGGATACTATATTTTAATGCCTGCGTCGTCAGGTCGTGACAAGTCGAATGAGCCCCGAATTGAAGTGAAAATGAAAAAAACGAAGGAAGCAGTTTTCGACTCATTCATTGCGTCAATTGAAACAAGTCTTTGCTTCAAATGAAATGAACTGACGCACTTGACGAAAAAATCAAGTGATAGTCCAGTCATGTTTGAAAAGAGGAATGTTCATCGTGACTCGATAACAAGAAACACGATGACTTACATGAAAATGATATTGCTCGAAATGAAGCGATTCTGCGGAGAGTTCATTTTCTTTTCTTTGTTTCGAAAATGCAGAACCCTGCTGGCGACATCGCTCTGATGAGACAACGAAACCCTACCCCCAAGTTCCTCCCCTTTTCCTATCCTTCGACAATGTACCCCTCTAACCTCGGGTAAACCGCGAGTATTCGGCCCAACTCCTACTAGACATAGAATTAAGTGAATTTTGTTACAAAGAACAATGAATTATCGGCTCCGTAAAGCTAACGCGATTGAGCCTTACAAATAAGTGGACCTAATGTCCATTACACCTAACGTACTTATGCCTAACAGGGTATATCCCAAGGGAACAACACCATTCTGTCGAATAAAACTGCAAATACAATCATTCTTATTGAAACTAGCAACATTCAGTGCAAACATCCTTGGAAGAAGAGAGTGAATTGGGGAGGGCTTAAATGCAATCATATAAGCGTGTTTATACTTTTGATAAACGAAGCCAACTCATTTTATGTGCCTTTTCCGCTTTTCCCCTTCATATTCCAGAATTACCACCCAGACCGTAAGTACGAAAAAGAAGGAAAAAGGGCATTTACCGGCCGGCTTGTCCCATCGCAGTGGATGATGACGTTTCTTCGATTCCAGAGTAAGAAACTATTTACACAATACCCAATGCAGCCGGCAGTAGACTGCTAAATGTATAATGTTACTATAAAACGAGCCACGCGTGCTCCTAACGATCACACTTGTTGTTAGACGCTCATCAGCGCGCGCGCGCCAGCAGGTTCCCTCCGAAATTTCCTAATTCTAGCAGGTATAATTAACCGAACAGGTCAACCGGTAACCGGAGAAGAACCAGTGACCGTCCGCTCGTCCGAAATCGGTTAACCTGAACCTTAACCGCCAACGCCAACGGAGAGCGTGTGAAACCAAAAGTGAACCGAGGTAACCATATAGTGCCGCGGAGTCAGTGTTAATAGTGGAAGCGAAGCCGGAGGCTCAAATCTTGGAGCATTTCATTCAGTAGTGGTTGATCTGCCGGGAAGTGAGAAGCGCGGAAAGAGGTTAGTATTGGTTTGTGGCGCTGGGGGGGACAGCGGGATTGTTTGTCAATACGCGATGAGTAAAGTGATTTTCCCGTCTACTGCGTGAATGAATGAAGTGCACTGCGACTGGAATTGGATTAGTGGCGGCTGAGTGAACGAATGGTGTGAT